GAATGCACTATTGTATACTTTCCCTATTAAATTCTACTTTTATTACTTTTCTGTATATGTTCCGATTTATCTAATTTACACACATTGAAAAGATAAAGAAAGTTGCACAATGTCCCAGGTCATAGTTCAGATATATAGCAAACTAGTAGTTGCACAGTGATAAAAGAAACATTTTGATAAAAAAAAATTCAGCCTATCATTTAAAAAAAAAAAAAAAATCCCATTACTTCAAAAGCTTAAATAAAAACACAAAATTAGACCAGGGACTTTTCTTTCATGGACCCCATTTAAAACAAATCGGGGACAACTATATAAACAAATACACTGAAACTTATTCGAAATATCTTAGATATACCCTATATGATGTTTGATGTGTTGTAAGGATTAAGTATTAAACTTCCGGGAGCAGATGGCCATGGTTCTTTCGTCTTTTCTTTAAACAGCAATAAGCACCATTTGTCATGACACAATGAAAACTGTACAGGCATGACCATGCATCATACGATTTTTATACATATGATTTATGTAGAGATTTGTTGAAACGTAGACTTAAAAAAAGATTCAGTTACACCAAGTCTATATATGTTAATATTAAACAAAAAAATGCGGTGGTTAAATAGGTGTAGGTATTTTTTCTTCTTCGTTAAAAACCTGCATTTATAACCCTTTCAAGATTTCCTTAATCTAATGATTTAAGGGTTTTAATAACTTCGTATCTAAAAAAAATATACTAGTATAATAATTTCTTTTTAAAGTGAGATAAGTAAAGTGCTCCTTTTGACATATATAAGCAATGCGACCAGAAAATAGCAAAAAAGTTCTCAATAGAAATGTAAATGTAATTCTTTATATATTTTAAAGTTGAATAAAATATTTCAAACTGGATAATCACTGAGAACTGAATGCAAACTTAGGTTGTTGTAGCAATCAATATACTTCCGTTATTTTTGATGGCGTTAACTACAATTCAATTATCATTATTTATATATTAAAATAATTGAAATACATATTTAAAAGGCGGTTTCTAATTATAGCTTTTTATGAGTCTTCTTTATTTTTAGATCAGGAAAAATGGATTTCCGAATTTGGGTTACGAAACTTAACCTTTCAAATTGCATTTTGCCTAATTTAAACACTTTCGTACAAGATTTAGGACATATCAACAGAATACATTATTTGTCTAATGATAATAAGATTAATGATAAATATACATGTTTGTATCGTTGCATCCAAAAAGAATTGAAAGCAGAGGCACTTAACAAATTGCAGATAAGACTTATCATTTACAAACAAGGTCCTTTTTTGAATTTTAATTAAAAATATGTTTAAATCGCTTCTGCTTTAAATATATCAATAATTGAAATACAATACATATTTAAAAAATAATAAATGTGTTAATTTTATGCTTTATTTATCTAAAAAAAAAACTTTGAATAAACGAATTTAAAAATATTGAAACCCACTAGAGGGCCCATTGTAGTATTACGTGCTAGAAAAGAAAAACATCTGGGAGATTCGAGAATAAAACTGAAGATATGATAACAATATTATATAACCATATGTTCTATTTTTTTGCTTCTTATATTTAGATTTGCAAATACCTAAAATAATCATGCACTCATATTCTAGGAATTCACCTTCACTATGAGATGGCATCAATAGGCGTAGTTTATATTAAAAAATTAATTTATTGCTAAGAATGAGATTTTTTATTTGGGTGGAAAAAATCTGCCTAGTGTATTTCCGTTTGCAAATACTTCATCAATGAGATATCAAGGGTTCTACGTCACAATGAGATTACATAATAGCAAATAGGCGTGGCTAATATTAAAATTAGACTTATTGATCAGGATAAGATCCTAAAACTGGGTGGAGACAATAAAAAGATTTTTAAAATTTAAATTACTAGCAATCTGTCTATTATTTGCATTTGCTTAATATGAGAAAGATATCCATTTTCAAGCGCGGGGTAATTCTCAAGTTAAACATCATTTTATAAACAACATGCATAAAATAAACATCTTTCTTAAATTTATCTTCTAAGCATACATTTGAGCATTGACCAAACTGTCAGTAACGATAACATTTGAATAGAAAGAGTTTTATTTGATGTCTGCTGCTAAAGATATTATCAATAATTATATTGTTTTTTTTTTTACGAGGGGTGATCAAAAAGTTCGCAAACTAACTGAATAACTTCCATACAAGAAACAATATTTGGTTTTAATGTTGATTATATTTTAAATTAATCCTCCCCGATTTTAATGCACATCAACCACCGTTCTGCGCATGCGCGAATCACGTGATATTGGCGGTCACCTGACCCCCTCCGTAGCGTTCTGTCACAAAAGTTAAAAGATTTTTCCGAGTTTTATATTTCTTTCCATGCGAGTTAATTTTTATGACGAGAACAGTTAATTTGTCAGAAATGGTCATATCTCGGCAACAGAATGGGTGGATAATAACATCCTTTCCAAAAATAAGCATGGCGACCATTAAAACACAAATCTTCTGTCTCAGGAGAGACCTTTATTCAAGGTGCAACGTAGAGAATGGGTGCCTCCTTTTTATCATATCTAATATGTTTAAAATCTAAAGTAAACGATATCTTAGGTATTTAATGCTTATATCATTGTTCAAATATTCAACTATTTTTCAAAGTGCTAATTGGAGGTCTTTGATAGCAAATTGCTTAATTAAAAATACATTTCTTTTCAAACTTGCTTTCACTGGGCAAGATGACAAGTATCATTTTTAACCATCAGCCTTCCTTCACTAAAACGATTAATCCAATCATTAATTGAATTTATAGGAACTCATTTATCTCAATAAACTGTGTACAAATTATTATATGATACTGTAGAGGGATTTCTAAGATATTACAATAAATTGTACAGTCGTTTGTTGAACGAGTTCGACTGAGACAACCATTTTTCGTCACAAGTGACCTAAATAGTGACGTCATTTTCACATTGTTACGTCACAAACAAGGAGAGAAACTTTATTCAGCATATGCTATTTATAGACCTTGTGTATGGCTATGTGTGTACCGAATTTCATTCTAATCTGAATTGTGGTTTTGTAGATATAGAGATAGTTTGCGAACTTTTTGATCACCCCTCGTATTATTATTTTTCACTGCATATTTTGCCATTATCAATAGTCTGAATTATAAAAATTAGCTCAGTCTATCGGATGCTGGTCATGTTAAATCGATAAAATCTTTACTTTACTTTGAGCAGGGGGTCAAATGGCGAAAAAATATCTTTGTTTACTTATTAGAACCTCCATAACTGTAAAATTTATGGTTTCTGGATTCGTGGTTCAAACCCATGGGCTCAGTTAATAGTTTCCTATATATTGAACAGATGTTCTATAAACATTCTTGATATCAATCACTCTTCCATATCTTCAGTCTTCTCTTCCCAACCCTATTTGAAAGAATTATTTCATCTGTAATTTCCAAATTTATTTTTTAAACAATGTTTTAATCCTAAAATTCATAAGTTTTAAACAATGTCACATGTACATAAATATGAATTAAGTTAATTTAAAACATGTATTTTTCTAATTTAAAATTTTCAATTTATATACAGATTTATATATCGACCGAATATTTTGACCGAATTTAGCATCCTTGTGTTCTTCCGTGTTCTTTCAAGTACATAGTTGTGGTTAAAAACTGCAGATACTAGCTGTACTATAGAGGCTTATCCGAGTTGCAGAAGTTTGGTATTATTGACTTCAGTGGAACAATCATGTTTTTCCTACAATCTTTAAAGTCACTGGGGATAAATTTCAGGCTCTGTGAAAAGTTTATTGATTTAAAAAGAAATGAAGTACATTGCTATTTATATCAGTATATCATCATAAATCTTTACAAAAATGACATACACATGTAATGCTCTTTAAGATGTTAAAATGTGAATTTAACAATCATTCTTTCACAATTTAGTTTTTAAAGTTATTTTTATCTCCATTCTCCAATTTAGATTTTCATTGTAAGGGCATTATTTATTTATAAAACAAGAAGTATAAATACATATCATGAGGAAAGGAAATGCTGAATTTGATAAGAATTTGATATTTGTCCTCCATTTGTCTTATTGTAATTCTTAAATTTACTACCATCCGCAAAATTAAAAATTACAATATGACATATTCCATAGCATATCAAGAAATATTTAAAATAAGTCAATCAGGCAATAAGTAGAACATCGTATGTTTATTTCAGAAATGAAAATTTAGTTTATATCTCTATGAAACAAGAATAATTCTCCATCAGCCTTGTAATTAGGAAAGTGACTGAGTACAAGCAAATTATTTTAAAGTTGTCATGCGATATCCTTCTATGTAGACAAGCAATGATGCTGGTACCAATGGTTTGGTTTGTATGTATATACTTAATTAGATTTCCGAGACATTGTATATTTCAATAAGGAAATCTGTATGTGTCAAGGTATGTATGTGACATATCATCCCATAAAGTTTAATTCTGAGTAAAAAAAATAAGTACAGATTTACAGAGAGGGATATGTCAAGATATTACAGAAAATATGTTAATTGTACTGAAGTACACGCGGGGGCAGTATCTCGTGTCATGACATAGATAGACAGCTTGTAATCTAAAGTTAATTTTCCGATTTTCTCTTTGAATAATTTTATCTGCAGGTTGTTAGTGTCTATCTCTATATTTCTTCAATATAAAGTTTACAAGAATATGATTTAGAAGAAGGAAGTAAGAGTTATATACCTTGGTGCAAATAAATCATTAGTGGCAGGTTTTAAAGAGGTTTGGTAAAATTAAATGATATAAAGTGAGCCCACCCCCACTCAGTTCTGATATTATTTTTTTCCAAAAATATTTAAACTGTCACCAGAGGCAATCAGTCGTAAGATATATTCCAAAAATTTGATTTCATGATTTATAAAAAAAAAACTTTATTTGCTAGAAAGAAGTAGTACTAATCAAGGTCTTAGAGCCGTTATCACCAGTATTCACACATACGTGTGTTGTAAAAAGAGGATGTATTTAAAGTTTTACCCTTTTTTTTAGAAATCAAAGCATTTAACAGGTGGTTTAATTAAGCAGACAATAAGTCTACACTCGATCCATCGATGAAATGTTCAAACTTTTTTTTTACCTACAGGAGGGTTATTCTGAGTAGACGCAAAAACACACCTGGAAATTTAGGGCCCCCACTGAGATTTGTTAAACCCTCTTAAGAAAATGGCTTAAAAATAACGTCCTCTATAGCTTTGACTGCAGCTGTAGAGGTACTTTAAGTCTGAAGTCTTGAAAGTGATGGCAAAAGAAATTAGGGATATTAAAACTGGAAATTCGATAAATGTTGACATGTACTGGGCTGATCTAATGTGAGATATAAACTTCTCAGGTTTCAAGGTTTCTAAACCCTTTGTGATATGTTTTGACCTAATATTCTAAAAATATGATTGCCACATGGGTATGTCAACAAACGTATACTAGACGTGTACAACTCAGGTTACTGGGTCCTTAACTGCACTACATTTGCGTGTCAATAGAAATATCAATATTATTCTTGTTTGATCTTTTAGATTTCTTTCTAAATCTATATCAGTTTAATATCTTTTGCTGTGAATGCCCCAAGATATTTTAGATTATTCTTTTAATATGATCGGTTTTCAATTTCTTTAACAACAAAGTTCCTTTGAAGCAGACATAATATCATGACATAATCATCAGGAAAGGGTGCCACTAGACATAATGAAAAATAACAACAAAGTTCGAACATTTTCTTATAAATTATATTTACTTGCTACACAAAGGAACAAAGGCACTTTCTGATTGCACAATTAGAAACGATTAAGTGACAATCAAATACAAGTATAAAGAGAGAACTGCGCAATAGATATAAAAGTGTGTATAGGTCTATTGCGCGACGGTCTGCGCTGACACTACTTTGTCAATGTGCCAAAGCATTACCTAAATGATTGAATCTTTACCACAGAGCTATAAGTATGAATTTTGACATCGCCAGAGGCAAAAGAGAAATGAACTAAGCATCGGATGTACTCGACAGCAATCTAGATATCGTTCCAGTGGTACCGTGAATCCATACCTATGTCAAAGGTAGTAAAAATAACAATCTTGGCATTGTTCGAAGTCGGGGAGGGTTTTCATCACAACCTTTTAATAGCCTTTGATTACCGATTGTTGAACCCATCTCTTACTGAGCTACTCCCCCCTTGGTTAGCTGCAATTTTATCGTGATGATTTGTAATCCAGTCATCGCTTGAAAGAGTAGATGAGTCCTAGCATGCAAAATAATAAGTCCAAACTTTCTTTGTTGCTTCTTCGTGACATTCTGGCGGCAGAAATATGAGTTCGTCCCACTTCTCTTTTTTTCTTCTCCCCAGTCAAACGGTGAGGGCATTGTTTGAGATGTCACTTTACAACAAGGTGCATGTTGCCAAGATTTTATTTCAAATGCCAAAAGTTAGGTCAAAGTAAAATATATCATGTTTACTTAACACATAATTTTCCAGCTGCGTTTTATGACCAAAAAGATACAATTTACATTTCTTAAATAAGACATATATAAATGATGATGAATAGATTAAATAGATTTTTATTTTCTAAATCTTGTAAGTGAAAGAAAAACATGAGTGCATATTTGATATTTTGCTTCTTTGCAATGTCATATGAATTTTAAAAAATGATAATTCAACTACTCTTAGTATTTTCTAATGTTTAAAAAATACATTTTAGTTTTACTCATCAAGACAGTGAAATCAAGTTCACAAAGCACCAGACCAAAAAAAGTATCTGAATTATTAAATAAATTACCCCTATTGCTTAAAACTTTTTCAGCATTTAAAGACATAAACGGGGACTGTAGTTTGTGCAGAATATAGTATGCAACTTGCAAATTATACTAATTTTTGGAATTGGTTAATTAAAAAATAAGAATAAATCAATATGCTGAAGAGAAAAATATTCAAAAATAAAACAAAATATTATTGATATTAAACTTCGTTACCTCTAGAGATAAAAATAGAAGATTGAAGAAGAAAAAACAATGAGCGAACAACCATTTGATCAATAATTAAAATCAAAAAATCAAATATGTTGCACGGTAAATTACTATTTATTAATAAACAATTAAGCGTTCATTAAGTTTTCGATATATATAAATACAAAGCATATGCAAAATTTCAAATTTATTTAAGAAGAAAGGTTTTCGACTGTCAAAATAAATTATCTTTAAAAAAATGAATGTTCTTGGGGATGAAGAAATATATAAAATAGATTAAATAGGCTGATATTACAGTATGACAAATGAGTTTAGTATGTATGAGCTTGAGACCTTGTTATACTTTGCGACAATGAATTATGAATAATTAATATCATCCCGCAGTGTTGAGGTAAAAAAAGGTATGTTTACAAAATTAGTGCACTTTTTTGTCACAGATCAGACTGATTAATGACCGAGAAAAGGAAACAAAGATTTCCTGTTTTTTCATGACACGTAAGAAATGTTTGACACGATTTGAATAGGTTCCAAAAAATCCGAAATAATCTAGAGTCTGATAGTATGCGTAAGTTTTGACATCTCTACTAATAATGAAAAGATAACAAAGATGAAGTGAAGAAATGCCTTTATTAATATCTTTTCACCGAGAATATCCTCTTTTCATTGAAGAAATATACACTGTATGTGGTAAAGTACATCAACAAAGATTTGTTTTATTCCAAATGCAACTGAAGTATAGTATTTGATAATATTAAGGTTATTATTCTATATAATCTTACCTTTGTTAGAGATTTTAAAACTCCACTAAGTAACATTGAAAATGCAATACACATCTGAAAAACAGATTTTCTTTCATTAAGCATTGAAAGAGAAATGAGTTATATGAAAAATGTACTTGATTATGCATATCTTTTGAAACACATATACAAATATATATTTTTCGACTCTAAAAAAAGTTTTTGTGCATAACTTAAGAATTTTCTTATAAAATTAAGGACAAACTCTAGTTTTTAAACCATTAGTCATGGTGAACTAATAAAAAAAATACGGGAAAAGGTTACGGGGGGCTTAAATGCCCCTTAAGTGAAACTTTGCTGACTAGAGGTGTTTGTACAACCAAAGAATTAAAATTACTAAATCATTTAAACAACTTAAAGCTCATATAAGTTAACATAACGTGTACGTGAATATGTGCTTCCTTTAATCAAACAAAGAAAAAGATGGTAAATTTGCAAAAATTTATAAAATAAAAGAAAGATGAATGGACAGGAAAAGATATAATATTTGAAACATGCACTCAAGGCATGTTTTGTTATATATACTTGATTATATATGGAATAAACAAAATAATATAAACAGTTGCATGCGCTTAATTAGTAGTAGTTAATATCATTTACCGACCATCCATTATCAACTCAGTAAAATGCTTAAGTTATAACAAAATACTCATAACTTGATGTGTAAGAAAAAGATTTAAAGTAACCTGCTAGTTTTAAAATTCAAAAGCAGTTATAGGGTACTTGAAAAAGACAAAATAAAAAAATTATCTGAGTTACGTAAGACCACTGACTTAAGCTAATACCCAACACCGATTAGTGCTTGATTTAGAAGTAATATTGGAACAAACATTTGATAAACATTGTATGATACATTGGTGTGTGTCCAATGACTAAGGAACCGAATTTGTTCCTTCATGCAAACACTGTTACCCAATGCCATTTATAAACGGATTTCGCTCTTTAAAGACTTGATTCAGCTAACCATAAGAACTTTGTGTTCAATTCTAAATTAAAATCCCGCTTCCTGAAATCCTTCCTTGATTCCTGATTCGTTTTTGATCGCAGGAAAATGAAAATCTTTTTTTTTTTGTTAGATGTTTTGAATAGCTATCCAAAATTATTAAAAAAGAATAAAAAGAATTAGTATATATAAAATAAAATACTAGTATGCACTAATTTTCAATTACTTTGAAAAAAATTTTGTTAAATAGGATTGCATTTTACATAAGTCAGATAGGACAATGTGTCTATATAAAAAAAGCGGTTTGACGAAAATTCATTAAATATATTTCCCCTAATATTAACTGACAGTCGGGCGTGTTTCTTTGCATGAGGTGAAGATGTTTGTTCTTCATCCAAAACGTTTCATCGTCCAACTTCATTATCAAAATTGAATTTATTACTAGCATTCTCTATGAAAATATATAGATCAAATTTAGTTTCTGCATGTTCTAAATCTTAATTAAAAAAGTTATGAAAAACTATGTTTCTAGCTTTAAAACTGCTGACAAAGCAGGTAAAATATTTTTTTCTAAATTTAAATAAACATACTCAGTAGCTACTGCTTTTTGTTCGATTGTTCTTCGAAGAAAAAATATCATTCAAGAAATTTTCCAAGAATTCCATTTCTGTCCAATGCTTTTAAATTATCGATATTCACAAAGTTTAATTTATATACAATAATGACTTTATCATGTTTATGCTTTTAAAAGTTCACAAAGTTTAATTTATATACAATAATGACTTTATGAATGTTCCTTCAACGACAGAAAAAAACAAAAGTATTCGGTGTAATACTTTAATCACAAAATACCAAATTTGTATCTTTTTAAATTGCAATTTAGTATGTCGACATGTGCTTAATCATCATTACCGATTTAAAAAGTATATTCTGGAACAGATGATGCAAAAAACTTTTATCAACAATGTTAAAATTCGAACTTAAGTCATGTTTATATAAGTAAAATGAATAAGTTTAACAACATAGATTTTTTAATTTTCATTCATAGCTTCACAATATGTGATTTGAAATGACTAAAAAATGTAAATATTAAAAAGAATTGTTGCAGAAAAGTTTTGAACATCGTAGAAAGTCATAATTTCTTCATATTTATGAAATTTATAATTGTAATCCTTACTATAAAATAGGTCAGAAATATAACAATCGAGGCATCCAATTTTTTTCTTTGTATCATCTATCCTAAATGCATCTAATAATAATAACTAAGTACATGTTCTTAGACTGAATTTTCGGTATTTCCAAGTATAATATCTTTCGCTTTAATTTTACAGTCAAAATGTAGGATACGCTAAACTATTTTCCATCTTGTTTTTTTTTAAGTACTTGTATGGGCATTTTATAGTGTCATGCCTATATTTGAACATGTTTTACCTTATATGGTAGAGGGCGTCATATCCATATTTGTACATTATGGTTGAGATAAAACAGTAGAGCGTGGAATCGTTAATATACGGAAATTTTAAGGAAAACATATCTGGTGAATTTCCTTTTGAAAAAATATTTGAAAACGTAAATTCTCTTCCCTTAGAATTTGTTAACAATGAAGATCACACTAGCAAGTTCTACTATACTTACCTTGAAAAAGAATACATGTAAAATTGAAATGGAAAGTTTTTATTAACCAATCTTATTTTTGATTTACAGAATACTAGTAAGTGCATTTAACTTTCTAGATAAAACTACTTTTATTTAACCAATATTTGTATAAAATTTTCTTTAACTTAAATTGATTTTTTACTATGCTCTATACATGTAAAATAATTTTTTTTAAAGATTTGGAGTTGGCATATATATATGGTCATAATAAACATGCCCTTAAATGACCTTTTTTGTCCCGAGAAGATAACAAAATGTCAATGTCTGATTAATAGAGCAAAATTAATTCTTTTTGCCAGAAAATTTCTAATTGTTTCTATAGAAATTCTCTCTATGTGCCTACAAACTAAAACATAATTAAAGCGTATACAATAGAATGACCTGTTCGATTAGGTATCAAAAGCATTCTTAATGGAAAAAATTAATAAATATATTAAAGGTGTTTTGTTTTCTTTTTGATTCAGGATAGGAACAAGAAAAACTGATTTAAATAAGACAACAATACATAATGGTGATATAAATAATGTGTTTCTATTGAAGAAGATACATCAGTCTAGTTAAAATTAGGTTTTTAAAGAATTTGATTAAGAGATACAAGCTGAGATTCAATTAAGTAAATGACAAAGAACTGTGGAGAACGGGGGTATTGAACTCTCTAAATCATGTAAAAGTGTGTTTTTTCTGGCTCAATTGATTTTTATCCAATTACCAATAATATTTATATATTATAATTTTGATTTAAACGTTAAGTCGTAGATTAAGAATTGTAAATAACGAAATATAAACGCTGACAAAATAAAACATAAAATTTACAAACTAAACAAATACCAAAGAGATACTAAACAAGAACTTTTAAAAAATACATATATAAAAAGTAAAAACAATTTAAAATATTGATGTTTTAAATCAATTTTGAAGTTTTTTTTTTCAGTTAGATGATATAAAAGAAAATATCGTAACATTGGCTTTCAGCCTCAAATAGTTTGTAAGAAACTAAAATATGTACATACAATTTCCTAATCAACTAAAAAAAATCATCTTAGCAAAACAACTATTGAACAAATTTTTATGCTATATATGCAACTGTATGGTTTAATAATTTTTTCCAATGCTTGTTGGTACTTATATCATGTTGTAAATTTTGAATATAAAGGTAAGGAATACAAAATTTACAATATGACGGTCGGACTAAAGCTAGTTCCGACTATTTAACTTCATTACTAGGAGAAAAAGTAGGTATTGGCTTAGTCCGAGTGACAATATTTTCGTTTACTAATTATTGAATTATCGAAATTCAAAAAATGACTACACGGCTTTTATCATTATATGAATTTCTAATTTAATAATCAGTTAACGACAATATGTCATATTGTAAATTTCGAACTTAACTCCTCCCATTAAATAAAAAATTTCCATTTACGTTTCAAATCTACATTTGCAAATATTGAATACTTTATATATCTGATAACATGTTTAACTGTGACAATATAAATGTGTAATTTACATGTAGGGAGAGGGCGTTATAAGTTTTCAGAACTTGTGCCCAATCCCTTTGTAATTAAATTACAATAAATATGTTCAAATCAAATCAAAAAATTAACAATATAATATCATGTTGTAAATTTTGCACACACATCGTACTAGTAAATTCAATTTTTTTTAAAATGATACTTGGTAATTTCTTATTTATTAATTAACAAACATAATATTACGTATCTTTAATTAGTGTGCAAAAAATTTATAAAGTATTTTGTTAAACAAACATTAAACCACGGTTCCTTTTTGGATGAAAAGAAATTTTGGTTTAAAGTTAGTTTTGTTATTTTTTTATCAGTTTGAAAGCAAAGACGCGTGCATATAATCAAACCCACTGTGTCACACACACATCATCTATGTGTGTGATAGTGTTACATGAAAATTGTGGCTGTGATGAAACACACTTAAATGATACAAATCTTCGCATACAGAAACTTGTCCTAAAATCTATTGTCCATCATTTAAAGCTTGAAAATCACCATAAAGATCATTTTAATATGCATAGGAGAATAAACGCACATGTCATGCGATCAAAAGGCGGGAAATTTTCTATTGCGTCATTTGTATCTTAGCAAGGTCAACGGCTTTGGCGGGACAATTTTCTCGAATAGTTGCCTTTGCGGGATAAGACAAGTTTTACCACAGAAAATAAGGTAACACCTTTATTCTATCTTCAGATATTTAAGCACTCTTAAATAATGATTAAACTTGTGCAAGAGTATAATGATTAAAAGCAATAATACATATATTTGCATGCTTTAATTGATTTGCAAAAAAAAAAAAAAAAAAAAAATTGTCTTGTGTAACAATCTAAAAAGCAGAAGTAAATGTATTTACAGCTCATTAGACGGAGAGAAAAAAGATTCTCACAAAAATATTTCAAGCTTCATATGTTTGCTATCATATTTTATAAAATTTAACAGATAAAACGATAACGTTTTGAACAATTAATGAAATAAACATTGAAAATGAAAAAGTTCAAGTTCATGCCACAAAGCACTGCCTAAAAAAACGGGTGATTCAATTAACAATTCATTATTCTAATTGGTGCATATGATAGATGTACATCGACTGATCTTTATTTAAGAGAGGAAAACCCAAAACGGATATAAATCTTGCGAGGACTGATAAATCTGCTATTTTTAATTATCTGGCTCCTTTTAAATCCTGTGTCATTTGTGTCCTTTTTTTCAGTACGTGTGAATTATTTTGTTTGTAAACATTGAAATATATTTTTATGTCAATGATATATGAAAATCTAATCGAACAAAAACAACTAAGAAATAATTAAATCACGTTTAAAAAAAAAAAAATAAACGATTTGTTACATAATAAATAACCCATTACTACGGCAATGTTTCATGTCTTTTAGAATAAGAAATCTTCCTTGCGTTCAAAGTTGTATTTCTTTCTCGAATGCATAAAAAATAATGCATTAACTTTTGTAACAATTCTATTTTGGTTGATGTAATATTTATCATTTCAATGCATTTTATATTCCCCCAAGTGCTGTAATACAATTGCAAACAATTATGCAACTTCCTTATTTTGTTTTTAAATCAGAACGACGTGATCATTTTATATTTTTATTGTTTTCCAAAGACACTTTCCCGTATTAATTCGCCGAGAGCTCTGAGTCATGAGATTATGTGTACACGTTCAATATTCTTCACTAGGTTAGTAATCGAGACCAACAAACTCCCTGAACTTCATGCTTGAGTAAACAATTGTTGATGAGTTGTAAATATATGTCATTACAAACTAGCAACATCTAAACTGCAGGTGCGTGGCAGGATAAGAATAGAAACCGCACAAAGAGACTGAGCTCGGCCGTCAATTGAAATATACACAATGATTCATGCATTTACTTCCGTCTGTATCCATGGCGAATTAATAATAATAATACCCCTGGATGTCAGACATCACTATAATACCATTATCATGAAAATAAACGAGGACTTTACAGGTGTCTGAGTAGAAATTGAAAGATATACAAACAAAGTATTTATCTGTGTATACGCTCGTATCTTTCTGGTAAAACCGACCAAGCAACAAGAGAGAAGCAGCTTTATTTATAGATAATTGACCCCAACGTGGAAAGAGAAATAAGTTTACACGTTTAATGCGCATGCAAATGAATATGCTAATAAACCAAAGTTTGATAAACGTCAGACTGTTTTGTTCTTCACGCTTGATTTCAATCGAGAGTAGACAGACTTGACGAAGATGTAAAATGCCCCCCGGAGAGTCGTCCCCTATAGTCGTCGCGAGCTCTACCTGGTCTAATATAAGACAGTAACACCTTTCGTGTTAGTGGACCATAAGAGAGTGTCCTAAATCAAGAGAACCTGGCCTAAATATAACGATGTTTATATATTATGAAAGACCTGGAAATCCCCATAAGGTTGATCTATTTTTGTTGCTGGTGCAATGTTTTGGCCTTGAATATTAGAGTGTATATTGTCTCCAAGGTTCCATATCTTAAATGATAGCAATTGAAATGTGATCGTATTTCATGAACTTTTTTTTTTGAAAGGTTGTAGGATATTTTTAAAAGAGGGGTTTATTTTCGCAACTTAATCATCCAATCGCGAGGAAGTTAATCCCGCCCCTCTATCGTGTCATCAGATCGTTCGCAAGCCAGTACTTGAAAAAATACGTTACACAGCTGATGTGTAGTAAAAGTCGCGAGTAGTTGCGCACTCAAATCATTGTTTACATCAGAGTGCACGAGCCAGTGGGGCGAGGCCAAAAGACTACCGAAGCGCCCAAAAAGTACTTCCATGACAAGGTAAAGTTTAATTATCCCACTTCGTTTAAAGACCTCTTTCAAAAGATCCTCTCTTGTGTATATTAAATATATATATGCACGTGGTCTGTATCTGTGTCGAGTGTCAAAGGCTTATCTGCACGAAATAAAAAACTGCGCAATTTATTACATGGCGCGTAATGCAAATCAGAAAGTGGCGATAAAATTAAATATTAGAGCAGGTACTTCCCAAAACATTGTCACGTGTTCCTCTTCTAATATGATGCAGGTATTGTCTTTTTTGTGTCATTCGGAAGTTATGAGTTGACTGACACACTAACCCATCTAAATGGGACAAAATAAAAATTAATTTGAATGTCGGATCTTTAATTATTTCCTAACTTTGATGGTATGTATCTGTATTCCTATATAAATTATCTTTGTTCTCAAACTTTATATACTATTACCTATATATAATTTTTTTTTCTTGTGTTTATTTTGAACACGTGTTCAATTGAAGTGCGTTTGCATGATGATAATGTTTTTGTGATGCGGAGAGCTGCTAGAATTTATCAGATGCCTGCAAGATACTTGTTGTTTTTAGATGAAGTTCATTTACAAGAAGAGCAGAATTTTACACAACAAAAAGGTATTAAGCTGTGCACCAAATTTATGTGGCTTCAAATGTTCCCATTACTCGGGCTTCTTTTTTTAACAATCATGCAACGTTTAGGAATCAGTGTCCGAACAAATATTTTTATTATTACGATATCAAAAGTACGAACCATTGTGCAAAATTTGAAAATTAAAATTGTTGAATTTTTAAAAAAAAAATTTAATAACTGTGTGGAAGACATAAAAGTATAAACTATCGATGTATTAGAAAGCACTAGACAATCTAGAAATTTTCATCAGGAAAAAATTTCTTTAACATTTAAATAACAGTTGGGTGATAAATAATTCGTTAATAAGAAAGCCTAAAACAATTATATCTCAATATGGAAATTTATATTTGAAGATTCATAACATTTTAATAAATCATTTATTTTAGAAAAATTATATATAAATTATATACTGCGACATGAAAAAAAAATAAAATTTAATTTAAAAATATTATTTATATGAAAAGGAAAAGAAGGGAATTTTTAAACTTCGATATCCCAGAAACTAATCTCTTTAAAAAAAAATTGTAGGTTTGCCTTAAAAAATTGACTTTGAGAATTCTGAAGTTCTCTTAATATATTATTTAGCTGGAGAAGGTGTACATATGATGTAACTATAGTGTTATGTCTGAGAAACGATCTTGTTTTGAATAATTTATGCATATAATTACTCTAATTCTATAGTAAAATAAAAGAAAACCACAAATAAAAAAAAATAGCTGTTGAAAATTTTTACCTGTAAAACCACGGTTTACTTATCTATCTTATCTTTACAAATAATGGTTTCTGTTTCGGAGTTGTAGCGTATAATTGTAGTAATAGTAAAAACAAGAGTAGAAAAATAACGAGTGCACCGTAGTGCAATGACCTCTTTAAATCTAATTTCTCGCCCGCAGTCCCTTTCTATTAAATCTCCTTGCATTAAAAGTGCAGGATTACTTGGTCATTTAACTTTGCGGAACATTAGTCGTATACTTTGAGCATCACTGACTCGTGTTATTAAAAAGGATTTTTAAAAGTTGGAAAAAATAAAGAAAAAGTGACAAAAAGGTGCGCTAAATTAAGAGATGACAAATACACATGATGTCTATTAGCACATTTGACAGGCACCTTACAATGTTACGCAGAGCCGTTGATTGGCGCTGACCTAAAGGGCAGATATTGTTGGGGTTCATCCACGAACTTGTGCAATACCTGTATCTGTCATTAACATGGAAGAAGGATGGCATCGCCGCGCTGTGTGCCCGTGTGAATTTTGACAGCTTTATATGGTTCTTACGTCAAGGTTATCCTTGAATTTATATAGTTTTAGCCCGCCAAAACTTCACTTCAATATCACCCATGTTTCTGTTTCGAACGGTTGCGGTGTTACAGGTAAAATCATTACCTGAAGCTGTTTCTATTTTTTGTGAGCGAAAAATAGACATTTTGTTAAGTCTTAGACACGACTGATCGAGTTTAGGGAGAGAGATGTGGATAGATTAATTTTTACTTTGTCATTTGTCCCCACGCGCGCTGCCGTGTCGCCTTCCGTGTTTCGCCTTATCATGACCATCAGACAACATGTCAATTTCTGGATTCGCTCGTCTGCCTATCAATAGTGCAAATTATTATTTTGTCTCTTTAAATCTATTACGATAAGTTTTACACTGTAGGAAGACACGGCCCAGTTTTTTGTTGGCTGCACTTTGCTTTGTAAGGTGCGTGACTTTATTCTTACTACATAGATACAACTTAGTGATATGGGTCGCAAAGGCTTTTGTAAAAGCCTCAACTTGGTTTTGTTGGCGAGACTTATGTATCACCCAATACACCAGCTGACTCATTTGCGGTCAAGAGAGATTGCTTATTAAATATGGTAATAAGATAATGCTTCTAGATCAATGGACTAAACAAGCAGGAGATCTTTGAACAAATTAACAATAATAAAGTCTAAATGGGTTTTCATTCATTGTGCGGCTTACAATCAAACCTTTTGAAAGTTTATGAAAAGGCTTAGAGCGTATTATGATTGGATTACAATTAGTAGACTTTGTCTAATTTACAACTTAAAACAGGAATAAAATAAACTTACCAAAGAAGAATAAAATCACATTATAACAAAAGTCCTTTTTATCCTGATCCTAGTTTTTGGAAGATGTTCTAAACGTCAACTTTGGAGTTGTTTTTTTTTTCTCTTTGTAAGTTGGTCGACGTCCAGATCCTACAGTAGTATGAGTCATCCATTGGTCCAGTGTACCAAGGTGGCTCTAGAATGCTGTAAAGTACTACAAGAAAATAGAAAAGAGATGATCATCAAAGGATTTCAACACGTGCAAAAGATATAATTATTTTTTCTAAAGTTTTGCAATATGGGAGGGAAATGTCAATTTATTATTTGCTTTTAATGTGTGTTATTATGCAGATGTTCACTGAAAATTGAGACAACTTGGACTTAAAGGAGAAAATTAAAATATATGTCATTATTGCACCTTAAAGAAGACTTACAAAATTGCGGTTTATGTTAGAGCTAGGGATGGTTTTAAATTGATCAATCAGCAAAATCCGAAAGCGATCTTACAACACCACGCCAGATCAACAAGTACCTCTTGGGTGGCCAAAAACCCAAGGGTAATTAATGGTCATCTCCATGGTCAATCGTTTTCTTTTGAAACAAATCTGATTAAAAGATCGTGCTAATGTCATAATCTTGGCCTGCACTGTTTACTGATCTCGGTGTTAACTGCGACTAGTCCGCATAAAGTTTAAGGCGATTCGCCTGGCTTTTGCAGTCTACCCTAGAGCAGCCGCCTGCGCACTATGTTTCATGAACAGCCCACGCCGATGTGGGGTTTCTACCCACACAATTTTTATACCCCTGCAAATTATTACCCAGTAGACATTAGTAGAAATGGATTCCTCGGAGAAAACTTCAATCATTTTCATGCATTTTCAGGAAATTTACCGATGATGGACCCCAGATCCTCGCATCGCGAAAGACTGGCGTCTTCTGGAAGCGTCCTCAGCGATGACAGCGAAATTTTGGACGGGATGGATGATGCCTTCGAGGAAGTTAGCGATCCACGTTTGCGAAAAGCTGCATCCCAAGCTGGAAGAGAGAGAAATATAATGCCGCTTATTAAAGAAGAGCTTCGACTTTCAATCCTCTCCCGACGAAACAAAGAAGGGAAAGGGGATGTTATAATCGAAGAAAAGAAACCTCAAATAAAGAGGGCAAGTGAAGTTTTTTTTTTTTATTTTTAGAGTTAATAAGATTTCCAAAATATTGGTATAAAACAAGAGTTACAAATGCCAAAATTTATTCTAATTTTGGTTCATTTCTTGTAGCCTCTAACAGAACCTGAAAAAGAAAGAAAGCTCCGACGCCAAGAGCAAAACCGACGAGCTGCAAGAAAATGCAGAAAGAAGAAGAAAGACAGCGAAGTCAATGTTATGCAGGTATTTTTGTGATTAAATTTTTGTTTTAAACTAAGGAAATTATTTTGTCAAATTAAACAATTCAAAAAATAAAAAATATATATTGACTGAATTAAAATTTATTTCCCTAGGCCTATCATTCCGAAAAAGAAAGACATGATAGTCTCACCGAGGTGGTGGAAGAATTAAAAAAAGAAAAACAAAAATTGGAAGAAGCTCTGCAGAGTCATCTCCCACACTGCACCAGACATCAGAGTACTTTTGTACCCATTCCGGAAAACACACGTTTGCTCCCATTTGGCGCATGTCTCTCACCGCCTTTCGATACCGGTATGTCATCTACTCCTGAACCTGATACCCCAAACCCAACGACTCCACACACGCCCGGTGGTCAAGTTTTCACTTTCTCTCCCGTTCCATTTTGTACCACTATGCAACAAGAAGAAAATATATACACAACCGCCGACGAAGAAGTGTGCTGTGCACACTCTGAAACGACATGGAAAACCAGTGAAATGTCTGAATATCCCGGCACCAATTACGACACGAATCTCGATGGCTGCTTTGGGAGTGAATTTGAAAACATTGATATTACACCTTTTACCAGCATCGAAAATTCTATCGACTTCTCTCAGTATCATCAAACGCCGCTGAATGAGCAATTCATCTCTCAATCGGAGTTCACTCAAAGCCAACAACAAACCGGGATATCACTTCCGGTGAGTACTCCGGACAACACTGGCATCCCTTCCGGTGACAATATACCAACATTCAGTGGACTAGAGTTTGTTTTGGACCTGATTACCAGTGATAACCAGTACAACATTCAAGGAAATACAAATGAAACTGTCGGAGAGTTTTCCCAGCATGGTGAAAACATTTCCTGCCCAAATTTGCATGATATATGAAAAACAATGTTAGTATGCATCTCACGCACAAAATACTTGAGAAGGTTGATTTCCCATAATTCATAGAAAGATGTGTTCAAAGAACGAGTGGATATTTTTTTTTGCGCCAGTATGTTGTCTCAAGTCAGGAAACTTTATCGTATGCACAATATTCATTACATGTTTTATTTTGGGGGACTAATAAAAGACAATTCCCCCCTTTATTTCTGTCGAAGTATACTTTTTACATATTGGCCTTTCGTGGCGCTAACATAGTGCTAGAATAGTATATACTAACAGTTGTGTAATTCATGAAAAAGGTTTGTATTACAGACATGACATATTCTCTGGTCAGAAGTTTTCACAGAAGATCTCGAATGTTTGTAAATAGTTTTTTTTTTCCTTTTTTGATTTTTTAAATTTTATTATACATGACACTGTAATATACATGTATATATTTTCTTGATTTTTCTATGTGCCAATGAACGGGTAAATATTGGTGCAAGATATCATAATATATGTTCAAGTGTGAAATGAAATTTCATATTATTCATAAATCTCGTATATTATCAATAAATATAAAACTAAAATTAAATTTTTGTTTTGTTTTTATGATGAGCAAAGTTATCGAGGAGAAAAAAAGACATTACCTTCGAGAAATGTTGTTGTATACTTGAAGGGCAATAACTTGAGTTTGTCCACAAACTTCCAAGGAAAATAAATTAGTTATCGAAATCTGAAATAAAAAATAAAGGATGAAAAATACAAGTCTATGAAAATCACAAATATAATTAGTAATAAATATGTATAATGGATAGGCCACGAGTTTTGATAATTTACCTTCTCTTCTCCCGAGTGCTGAAAGCAACGATTTCTCATTGTGTGTGAATAAATGATCAAATTCCAACAGCACAGACCAAGAATTAATCCGTGTAGACTACAGAGGTATTCTTGCTGCAAATAAGTTGCTTACGAACACTTGTTCTCTGATAAATTTCCTATTTCAAAATATTGCATTACTACGGTAGCAAAATCTTGGTACTTCTATACAGACAAAAAACAGAGTCCAGACTTAGGCAACAAAGAGTTGATCATTAGAAATCCAGTTTATAAAGTAATAATAAACGTTCTTGTGGGCATTTGTGTGGATAGCCATATGTTTTAGGCCTAAAAGACCGTGCTACCTTCGCCCAATGTCACTGGAATGCCCCAAACCGCCATTTGGAGGTACATCAATATTTACATGTAGAAGCATCGTCACTCATCCAATATGGTAAATAAATTTCTGTGTCTTCCTCGATCTCATTTGATATCTTGAAATACCAGATGAAAGTAATGGTTTTCATATTGAATATTACAGGGAGCAACACAAATCAACATACTGTGAAAAAATGGTTGAAGGCTGCAAGCAGGACTTCTGAAAACAATACCGTATGGTGTTGCAGATGATTTACGATAAGCTGGTACTTACATGTATACGCAAATTTTGAAATTTAAAAAGTTTTTGAATATATACATTGTTGTTTTTTCATTTACTATATATGTATGTTAAAACTGAGATAACTATAGATATTTAATATCAAAATACCTACCTCCGAAACTGCCTTATCCACTTTCAATTATTATATTTGACTGTTTGTCAAATCTTGAGTTTTTCTAATAGTTTGATATGTTACCAAGAAAAGGTTTGTTCCTTAGAAACGGGTATTTTTTCTTCCAGTTTCCTTGGATACAGGTAGTAAAATAAGCGTGTGCCTGGCCAATAAAAAAGTCTGATTTCATCTCCTATATCTAAAGGGAAGTTTTATCGTTTTATATTTATGTTGAAGTTTCAACTTATATCTATTTTTGAAAGTGTTATAAAACGAAATAACTAACCAGAAACTTGTATTTATTATATAATATATATATGATTGGTGATTAATGATATAGTGTATAAATGTAGATGATAAATTTACGGTTTATCTTACTTAATATTAAATTTCGAAATATAATAATGATTTCCTGATACTTTCAGTGTACATGTATATAGGTAAAGAAAAATAAGATATTAATTATGTGCATTTTAATTTGCAGCTTATGTCATTCTGAGGATTAAAAAACATCAAAAATAGGTCATTTGTTGACCGAAGCTTACACTTTTTGCAATCGTAAGTTTTATAATCATGTGGCGAAGTATATATATGTCCAAGATGTTTTTTTCTCTCTAAATCTCTATTATACGATTGTTCCGCAAAAGAAAACTGAACGTTTGGAACAGATGCAAAATGACTTAAAAAAGGAATGCAAAAATAAAAGGCTTTGCAGAATTTTACTCAAGATTACTTTTTTTTTTTTTTACTTTTTTGAATGAGAACTACAAAATTCACAATGTGAAATTTTGTATTATTTTTCATTCTAGCATTTCAACAAAATTCTTAAACTTATTTCTTGCAGTTATAAAATACATACATGTACCTTTATTTCTTTGTTTCATATGGATACGCGGAGGCTTCAACTTTGTCTGTATAACTAGTTTGTCTGTCCTCAATACGTTGCTCGATCTTCGTAAGCCATCTGTCGCTCACTTCTACCTGACATAAGTGGAACTGAGTAAACACTAAAAAATGTGAAAATACATGTACTTGTAAATAAAAATCATTGCATCTCTTTGCTGAACCTCCTAAATTTTTTAACAGACATGTACAAATTGAATTATAAGCTTTTCAAACGAAATGTTTCTTGAGGGGGGATAAAGAATTTTACTCAGCTTCATAGAAAAAAAAATTGAGAACATTTTAATTCTTACTTTTTAAAAATAAGAACATTAACAATAACATGGTAACGTCAATAAAAAGAAGCACGGTTTAGCTTAAATATTTTATAATTATGGTTTATTTATCTATATTTGTTAAAAGTTATTTGTATTTGTAATAATACTTCATTTCTATATACATTTTAAAGTAATATATGAAGAGAAAAGGTGGACACAAGTTTTGATATATATACGTAAAATTACGATGTTAAATACTATAGTATCCAGCCTCGCCTTCCTATTTACTTTTCTCCTGCAAGGGTAAAACCAAATTTAATATAGTCTCTCTCTCAAAAAAAAATGAATGCTGCAATGACATATTGTGTTCATCTCATATGTTTGTATTATAGCATTGTGGAATTCAAATTAGAAAAAACCAATATACATGTAGTCAAATGATCAGAAAACATTTGGAGATATTTTGTCAAAATAAATAAAACTAACTGCATATAACCATTTCCATCTTTTATTTCTCTTTTTTTCTATTTCAAGATTTTTGTACATATATATGCATAAAGAAGACATAACTCCCTCCTAGAATTAGAATGAACACTGGATTACCTATTGTGCAACTCTGCAGAGTTCTATCCAAACTGATTTCCTTTAATCACAGCCACAAGTACAAAGGTATGTCATGATAATTGTATGCTGTAACAGTGGTTTAAATGTAAATATTATAAAGTTTAGTGAAAATATTAATTTTTTTTTTCTTAAATATAAAAAAAACCATCTTTAGTTTTTACCTAAAGATGCACATATATTCGGCTATGTTTAATATTAATATCATACATTCAGTAAAAACTGTGTACATATATACGTTATTAATGAAAGTTTACACACTGTAACAAACAAAACAAGATTGTGTCTATGAAACACATGTCCCCGAATGGCAGGTCAATTCAGCATTTTGAGATTCTCAAATGCAAGTCAATCTGCAATGTCAAAAGATCAAAATTTTGGGTACTCAAAAAGTATTGTTATAAGGAAACACTTATGAAATAAAAAAAAAACAAAACTAGCACCAACCGTTCAATAGTCATGGCAAAGTTTAATTTTGTCCAAAAGAAGGTCATTGACCTTGGTGTCTTTTGAAAGAACTTTAAGAGTTAGAGTAAGGTCAAAAGTTATGGCGAAGGTTAAAGTTTTCAACAGACAGTGACAAACAGAAAACAGAAGGGTCATGTAACTAGCAGAAAACTGGCCAATGTTTAAATAAGAAGGACCCTAAGGTCAAAAGATAAAAATTAATGGTGCCAAAAGGAAGGGTCATGTAACTAAGAAAACTAAGTTTAAAGCAATATATTTTTTTTCAAAAGTAGGTAAAAATCCTAGGTCAAAATTAGACCCAAGGGAAGATCTTGTAAAAGGTTTACACTTTTGATATAATGTCTAATCACCGACTGTTCAAGAAGTATATATATCAAGTTAGAAAGCCCTAGCACCAACTTTTCAAAGGTTATGGCCAAGATTAAAATTTGATGAAATTTCGCAAACGTGGGCCAACTCCAAGTTCAAGGTCATGAGGTCAAATATGTTGGAACCCAAAGAGAAGTCTTGTCACAAGGAATACACATGTGAAATGTGAAAACTTTGGCCCACCAATCAAAAGTTATGGGCAATGTTATGATTTTGCGGACGGGGTCAAAGGTTGTTTTGCGGAAAACTTCCTGAGATCGTAAATTAAAATGTAGATGTATATTGAAGATGACAATTGTATTGTCGAGGTCACCAATGAGATTTATTGATTTAGTTACAAAGGTTTTGCGTATATTGTTGAAAACTTCTCTCTTCCTTGAGTTACTCTTACGATTTAAAATTAAAATGTACATGTGTAAAATTATGTACATTGAAGATGGCAATTGAATTGTCGAGGTCACCAATGAGCTGTCTGTCTGTCTCTCTGTCTCTCTGTCTGTTTGTCTGCAAAAACTTTAACCTTGCCCATAACTTTTGATTTAGTGGAGCTATGATTTTCATATTTAATATGTGTATTCCTTGTGACAAGACTTTTCTTTGGATACCACAAAATTTGACCTTTTGACCTTGACCTTGGAGTTTGACCCACTTTTACATAAAAATTCCCAACTTTTACTTTGGCCATATCTTTTGAACAGTACATTTATACTTCACATATTTTTTTTTTTGTGGCAAGACCTTTCATTGTATACCAACAACCTTGACCTTGTGACCTGACCTTGAAAATTTCTGTACTTACGAAAAAAATTTAATCTTGACTATAACTTTTCAACGGTAATGGCTAGGACTTTCATACTTCATATATGTAATCCTTGTGAGAAGACCCTTCATTGGATACATAGAACTCTGACCCTTTGACCTTGACCTTGGTGTTTGACCTACTTTTAAAAAACAAACCTTGATCATATCTTTAAAAGGGAAGGAGCTAGTGCTTTCATACTTTATTTATTTAATCCTTGTGACAATATCTTTCATTTTATATCAAGACCTTTGACCCTTAGACCTTGACCTTTGAGTTTGACCTACTTTTAAAATTTTTAACCTTGGCCATAACTTTTGAACGGTTAGATCTAGGGCTTTCATACTACACATATTTATTCTTTGTAGCAAGACCGTTTATAAGATACAAATAACCTTGACCTTTTGACCTTGACCTTGGAGGTTTCCGGACTTATGAAAAAAACATTAACCTTGGCAATAACTTTTGAACGGTTAGAGCTAGGGCTTCCATACTATGCATATTTATTCTTTATGGCAAGACCTTTCATTGAATACCAATAAACTTGGTCTTTTGACCTTGAACTTAGAGATTTCCAAACTTATGAAAAAACATTAACCTGGGCAATAACTTTTTAACGGTAAGGGCTAGGGCTTTCATACTTCACATATGCATATCTTGTGACAACACCTTTCATTGAATACCAATAACCTTGACCTTCTGACCTTGATTTTGGAGTTTGACCTACTTTTAAAATCTTTTAACCTTGGCCATAACTTTTGAACGGTTAGGACAAGGGCTTCCATACTTCACATCATGTATTCTTTGCGGCAAGATCTTTTAATTGATACCAATAACCCTGACCTTCTGACCCTCATCTTGAAGAATTCTGTACTTATGAAAAAACTCTAACTTGGCCATAATTTGGGAACAGATGGTGATAGGGCTTTCATATTTCACAATTGTATTTCCAGTTAGGAGACCCTACTTTGGGTACCAATATATAAAATTTGCATTTCAGAAAAGTTTAATCTTCACTCTGTTGCCATACAGGGGCATCAGTGTTTCACAGACATCTTGTTTGAATTATTTCACATCAGTTTATATAGTGGTAACAATATTTTGAAATGTCACCACGTTACGAGCACAAAATGATATCAAATATAAAATGTTTCAATTTTGCGCGCTCCTCGATCCTTACGATGGACAAGAATTCTGTTTTTTGTGCAGAGGTTATTATTTTTGTAGAGAGAGAAAGAAATAGCAAACATACATGTACATACTGCATTTCTTGGACAGAATGAGATAGAGAGAGGCAAAATGATATACATTATATTATTCTCAGATATGCAACTTCCTCTCTTTGTCCAGACTATGCTTACAGCTTAGGGACACTCTCTGTGTGAAGGAGTCTAATTTTCAACAATATTAAATAAATATTGAATATTTTTTAAAGTGAAGTGGACATTTGGAAAGAGAGGTTGTATATGTCTGTGTGTGTGTGTGTGTGTGTAGGGGGGGGGGGGGTCTCATGGATCTAATTTCGTAAAACATTTCTAGAGGGGATGTTATTTTGAAAGTCTTTTTTAAACAAGAATCCTTCTCTTGGGAATTGGATGGACTATAATGTGAACAAAATTTAGAACATTTTTAATAAATATTCCCACCCTTTTGGTTCCTATAGATCTGTATGGTCCTTCACATGTGGATAGGTTCTTTTCGACATTGTGACCCCGATTTTCCCTACTTTACAGATTTTATTTTCTCTCCACGGATTCTAATAAGCATTATTTTGTTTCTTACCTATTAATATTTTTCTTTTCAATTTCTTTGTTCCTATCAGTCATATGATTTTTCAGTGCAAATCTATTTTTAGGACTTACTCAACGACATAAACATTAGGATAGGCATCTTTCAGTTGTATTTATGCAGCTTGATAAAGGACAGTAGATCTAGTTTGTTGCTCATACTGCCTTGATTCGGATGTAAAGTGTACCACTTGGAAATCAAGGCCATATAACGTCTTTTTTTCAACAGAAACGTTCGTCTATATCACGGAAATTTCGCCGAGTTGATTCGAATTTTATTTTGAAAATTGGACAGGAAGTACCTCATCGCGTACCCTTTTGTAACAAAAAATGCATTATACCTGCGTTTTTGCATTTCTAGCATTGTAGAGAATTCGGGAAAAGGAATATAAGATGGCGAAAACCATCCAGGGTGGAAATGAATGGACACAGGCTTCCTCAGTGACGGAACCACTGAACCTATCGAAACCCAAGTCCGACCAGCCGACCGACACGGTAAAGCAAACATTGAAATCACTGATCAAGTCACGGAGAATTGCAGAAGGAAAGGGCGATTTGCATGTTGATTTTACCGTGGAAAAGTCAAGATGCGAGGTAAGACAGAACGTGCAAAGTTGCAATTCTGCAAATTATGTATGCATTTGATGCATTCAAAAAATTGGCACTGCGCCAAGGAAAGGACGTCGCAAATAACTCGTGCATACTTGAGTAGATATCGAGACCATTTCATAAAATATATATCAGTTTTGATATCTTTGTTCTTATTTGTATGAAATGACATTTTTGAAGAATTTATTACCTTAATAATCACATGAATAAATCGAGCATCCATTTTGATGTGGGGGTGGTGCATATTCAATACAGGACAAAATCTATTTATAAATCTTATGCCACGTTAGAGTTTTTGTATATACATGTATATCTGTTTCTATAATCAGAATATGTTGTAATGTTACTGATTTATTTTTAATAAAGCTAACCCCAGAGGAGAAAACAAAGCAGAGGGAAAGGAAAGAACAAAATAGACGAGCAGCTATGAGGTGCAGGGAACGTAAAAAAGAAGAACTAAAATGTTTGCAAAAAGTATGCACATTTTTTTAAAAAGTACAATCAATATAACATTTTATAAAAGCTATTTTCAGATATAGTGCTGTGTGCATCCTAAGTTCTAACTTCTACACAACATATGTTAAAGTTGAAAAGTAGAGACAATGCAAACTTTCTTAAAAATGTATATCACATAGGTATACTTACCAATCATATTACAGGATGATATCATTTGAAAAAGAAAATTGATGATATATTTTGGAGATTTGAGATTTTTTTGGAATCTGTATAGAAACCATCATTTTATTGTATTTTCCTTTCCTTAAATTAATTCATTTTATCATATGCATTTAATAATATATAATATATTATATATATATATATTTTTTTTTTTACATTTTCAGGAAGAAAATTCATTGAGGCAGCGTCGTCAGATTTTAATGGCTAGAGTTGAAAACTTGCTTATTGAAAAGGAGAAACTTTTGCAGACTATTCGTTCAACGGGGCATGTCTCATCTTGTTCTTGTGCAAATTCAGAGGGGAGCTGCATTAACTGCTTGTCTATCAGTAACACAAGTGTGCATTCTGAATCCTCCAGCAGTTCAAAAGATGGCCCTGAAGCAATGATAATATCTCCAGACAGCTGTGACAGTGACACAGACAGTGGAAATGAAGACGATGATGATGACGACGATGATGAAGCTGGTCGTCTTTATATTGATACTAGTGCAAGGAATGACGATTCGGAGGTTCTTGATTTGAGTTTTTCAAAGGAGAAATATGTCCACATGGAATTCACCGACTCTGACAGCCAGCCCTGCAGTTCACAGGAAAGCGTTTCCAGTCAGAAATTTAGCCTGTACGAAGTGGTCAAGCCAGTAGCGATATATTCCAATAAACATAGTGAAGCATTGAATAAATTTTCGGTATCTAACGTCTTTGAAGTGAAAGAGGAGCCAACAGACATGGAAGATTCAGACTATATTATGAGTTCGCAGGAGAGTACCCATTCACTTTACAGCTCCCAAGACAGCATTGATGGAAGCTTTTTGAAGCACGGGGGTCGAACTTGTGATGTTTCTTGCGACTGACATTCAGATAAAATGTAAATAATGAGGGCTTTTTTTGCATTCAGATGTATGAATTTTGTACATTTAGGCCCGCAGAATGATGCTAAACTATTTCTAATCAAAGCTTGTGTTCGTCTCTGGGAAATGGTCCAATTTTTCTCAATTTTTAAAATCAGAAGATAATAACAATTTTAAAAAAAAATCCTTGACACAGTCACCTTATTATATATATTGTAAAAACAATAAACATTTTCCAAACTGATACAGTAGAAAATGATTTATTGATTCATATACATATTAAATTTTTAAAAAATTGCAAGTTTCTGTATGAAATGGAAAAAAATGTTAGGCATAATTGGTGTACACAGAATCTTAAGCAAGAAGCAGTAATTGAACACTGAATTCCGTGCTTTTAAAATTTACCACTGTGTAGGTACATGTAGGTGTAAATACCCATGCATTGCAGTCCTTTGAAGTAGTTAGTGGGAACAAATAATTAATACCCAGTTAAGTATGAAGAATTCTGGATGGTATACAGTAAATTCCTTAAGTATGAACACAGATACAACAAATTTAAGAATTGAAAGCAAAAAATGTTAACAAATCCTTTTAAAAGCTTTCGGATATAACCAGAGTTGTCCCTAAGAATGAAATAGAAGGGGACATTTGGAAATTGGAAGAGAATCTGGGATTTGTTTCCTAATTGGAAGTTTAGTAGGAATACAAAAATAACCAGGGGATTACATCATTTATAGGGAAGGAAGTTTTCCGACCCCTGGGTCTTATGGACCACCCTATACAATGAACTCGGATATAGTGATATTAACAGTTGTATTGAACTGATTTTGTGTCCTACAGAAGATGAAAATAACAAAATTTAATTCTCTTATAATGAATTTTTAAAGATATATTTCTTTTGAATATAGATCTGAAATTAATTTTTTAAGGAGCTTTTGTATTTGAAATTCAATTGAATTGAAAACTTTTGAACTCCAAGGTAAATTTTGCATTTCAAGACTCCCAAAATTTATTTGGTACTCATTTTTGAATGAAAAAAAATCCACATTGCGCATTTTCTATGCATGGTTTGAGAAATTCTTTATATGAATATAACGAATTATGGAAATAGCTAGGTGAATTCGCAGGTTCCCTGAACTTCGCTTTAACTGAGTTTCACTGTACATGGTGTAAGTACAATTACTCTGTGTGTAACATGAGTCAAAATGTTGATCAAGAGGGTGAGTATTGTGGCCTCTGGGCCTCTGGCTTTGCATTTTGTTACTTTTTTTTGAAAGGTAAGCACTATTTAGGTCAACTGTTTGTTGTTTTTTGACATTGTGACCTTTTGCTATCTGTTTTTAGTCATTATGTGTTTTGGTTGTAAACTGTTGAATATGTAAGTTCTCTAAAAATGACCACAACTTCCCAACCTTCTGAGTATTATTATGACAGCAGTTGGTCTTATGTCCGGGAATAAGGAGAATGAACTCTTGATCAAGAATGGTGAAATTTATGCTTCTAAATTCATTGTCAAAGTGTTAGTGCACTGTATTGTAAAATTAGTTATCAACAATTTACCAAAATTGTGAATGTCAAGGCTGGGGGCCATAAAACTTAGACGAGCTCACTTTTGAGCTCAGTCTCACTTTTTCCAAAGGAAGTGGAGAAGTGAGACTGAGATCAAGAGTGAGCTCGTCTAAGTTTTATTGCCAGGCCTGGACTCATGTTGCAGGCCCTGGTACAGGGTGGGGCTTAGTTACATAAATTCAAAAAGAAAATCAACAGCATTTTGAAAATCTTAGTTATGAACATTTAGAAGGCAAGTCATTTTTATGATTACTTGTAATAAATGCTTTACCCACAACCAAAATTTAAGTTATGGCTTCAGATTTTCCAGTGTGGAGTTAAGTTTGTCCTAAAGTTATCACATCTTTTAAAATCTACCCTAAAGGACATCTAGTTGAAAACTGATTACATGTACGGGTAATGTATGATTTCATTGAGAACAACAAGAATTGTGTTCCCTTGGCCAAGTATTCAGGCCTCGGGGTTGGGTTTGGGTTTATTTATATATTACAGTGTATTAAAAGTATACTTTGATTGTTTTTAAAATTGAGTTTAGGAACTCCAAGTGGTAATAGCCAGAGAAAGACATGATACTCAGATGGCAGCCAAGGCTTATATGGGCCTCTTTTGTTTTGTAGATTTTCAAATCTTCATTTAAAGAAAATACTTATTTTTTTAAGCATATACTTGACAGCAATCTATACAAATATAATGTATGTCAGAGAAATCCTGCCTCTCCCAGTAATTATCAACTGGTCAAGAAGAATTTTGATATTGCACAAATATAATGGGTTTTGAGTGCGAGGAGTATGTTATCTATATCTCCTGTGTGATTAAAAATAGCTCTTGTTCTCTTAAGTTTTTAAAATGAAATTGATGAAAAGTAATTAAAACTAATTTGATTTGCATAATTAAAATTTATATATAAATGTACAGGTATTTCTTGTATTTTTGGTTGATGTGAAACAAGTTCTTTGTAGCAGAGTAGAGAAAGCTAGAAGTGTTGGTGGAACTACTGCAGCCTTAAGCATGCTTTAAAAGCAATAACATGAACCTTATTTTTTTGGTGTCATATTAATTCTGTAATTCTATTGCCTAATGGAATGTTAATTTACAAATTAAAGCTTTTCTGGTCAGAAACCAGAATAGTTTGTGCATCATTAAGGCATCAATCATCTGTCTGTAAACAATTTTTTCAAAATGCTAAAATTATTGAAATACAGTTTTAGTCTGATTTTAATGAAAACACAATGCTTAGTTCAATAACTGTATGTTTATTTTGATGAAAGACTATATAATAAAGGTGTCTGTGAAAACAGAGAATAGACTCCCAGTCAAAGTGCTAATAAGTTTAGCTTTTGAAATAAATTCGAAAAGGAAACAAAATTTTCAACATTGAATGAAACGTGGAGATAACGAACAGTATTCCATATCAAAAGTCCATTAAACAATACAAAATAGGAGCAGAGCAAACATGGACATCCAAAACATCAGAGGTGGTATCAGGTGCCATGAAGGAGTGAGCATCCCCTGCCGACCGATCACACCCTCCGTGTGCTCCTTGTCATGATCGGGAAATAACTGAAAATCCGTCGTCATTTCATTGTATAAATAATGGACTAACAATTAGTATGAAAGACTTCACTCAGCATTTGACTCGATGATAAATTGTATATGCTGACAAGGTCATTGTATTGGCCATAGAACTTACGAAATAATGACTTTAAAAAGAGCCTGCTGAAATTCTTGTTTGATCAACTTGTTTGTCAATAATTTACCTCCTTGTAGAAATTGTTCAAACATAGATTATGCTCTTGCGTATCTAATCAACTGAGATATGTAAACTGTGTATGCAGGCGATGAAGGTACATTGCTGCACAAGTAAGGAAGAAAACTTACATTTTTAGCTCTACTGGTCAGAGACCAGAAGAGCTTATGCGATAGTAATGCGTCCGTCGTCCTTCCGTCTGTCTGTCTGTCTGCCTGTCTGCCTGTCTGTCTGTAAACAATTTTTCAAAATGCTACTCCTCCTACAGTTTTGGTCCGATTTCAATATAACCTGGCACACAAGTAGACTACACCAAGATACGTAATTTTATGCATCGGTTTATGATTTCGAAGAATGGTGTTGCCGTGGTTACTAAAAATAGAAATTTCTGTGAAATTCTTTCGAAATGCTACTCCTCCTACAGTTTTGGTCCAATTTCAATATTACTTGGGACACAAGTAGACTACACTAAGATACATAATTCTGTGCATGGGTTTTTGATTTCGATGAATGGTGTTGCCGTGGTTACTAAAAATAGAAATTTCTGTGAAATTCTTTCGAAATGCTACTCCACAGTTTTGGTCCAATTTCAATATTACTTGGCACACAAGTAGACTACACTAGGATATACAATTCTGTGCATGGGTTTTTGATTTCGATTAACGGTGTTGCCGTGGTTACTAAAAATAGAAATTTCTGTTAAATTCTTTCTAAATGCTACTCCTCCTACAGTTTTGGTCTAATTTCAATATAACTTGGCACACAAGTAGACTACACTAAGATACAAAATTCTGTGTATTGGTTTTCGCTTTCGATGAACGGTGTTGCCATGGTTACTAAAAATAGAAATTTCTGAGAAATTCTTTTAAAATGCTACTCCTCCTACAGTTTTGGTCCGATTACAATATAATTTGGCACACAAGTAGACTATACTAAGATACATAATTCTGTGCATCGGTTTTTAGCTCTACTGGTCAGAGACCAGAAGAGCTTATGCAATAGTAAGGTGTCTGTCGTCCGTCCGTCTGTCTGTCTGTCTGTCTGTAAACAATTTTTCAAAATGCTACTCCTCCTACAGTTTTGGTCCGATTTCAATGTAACTTGGCACACAAGTAGACTACACTAAGACACATAATTCTGTGCATCGGTTTTTTGATTTCGATGAATGGTGTTGCCGTGGTTACTAAAAATAGAATTTTCTGTGAAATTCCTTTAAACACTACTCCTTCTTCAGTTTTGGTCTGATTTCAATTTAACTTGGCACACAAGTAGACTACACTACGATACATTAAATAGTGCATCGGTTTTTGATTTTGATGAATGATGTTGCCATTAGTACTAAAAATAGAAATGTCCGTGAAATTCCTTTAAAACATCACTCCTTCTACAGTTTTGGTCTGATTGCAATGGCTTCTTTTCTTATCCTTTGTTATAAGTACAAACCAGTAGAGCTACAGTCTCGACAGAGACTTCTGGTTTCAATTATAATTAAAAACCTACAGTGTTCACTGTTCAAAATATTGAAAATTTTAAATTCAAGTTCGTTTTCATTTATATAGACATAAAAAGGGGGGCTAGTATATTTGTAGTCCTGATAACTTTATTAGTATCTTTAAAAACTAGTGCTAATTGTAACGGGGACCGTTACAGATGTTCCCCAAACGCTCCCCAACTCCCTTTCGGTGCCATATTCCCTGTAATCTCTATTAAATAAGAAATACTTTATGGAATTTATACTTAATCAAGGTCTTCCCAGAAAAATACAAAATATATTTAAAAATAGGCATTACACGCGTGTTCATGTCCGTAACGACCATATTATCTTGTCTACACTATCTAAAATTTTAATATACTTAATATCAAAGCATTTAATCTAAAAGTATTTAAAAAAAAACACTCATTCGAGTGTATTTTTAATTTTACTCATT